ACACAGTGAGAATTTCTGAAAATTCCACCTGTTGTGTTTAATAATTCAGTCAACAGATACACAGAAGGGCTCAATCCCAAAAACATATCTCAGGTTAAACATTAATCTCAATGGGAATTCTGTCTGCATAAGACCTACTGCACATCATATCAGAAATAGCTGACCCATTTATTCTTCTTTACTTTACTCTATTTACATTCCTATACAACTTTCTTTATTTTGTCTTTTTATCCTGATACGTGGTTTTGAAGGTACATTGCCATTGCACTGGAAGGAGATGGGGGAAGGAGAATGACAGTTGCTGGGATGGGGAGGAGGAAAAAATCTTTAGGCTGCACGGCACCTCTCTCTTCACCTTGGCTGGCCTCTAGAATATAGTCAATATCTGGGGAGAACCCAGCCATTTCAAGGGGAGAACTTTGAAGGCTGTGCTAACACCAAAAGACAAGGGAATCTATCAGGCAACAAGTCCTGAAAAATCATTCTCAATTGCCCATTGAAATAGGGTGCTGGGTAAACTAATGGCTGTAATGAGGGAGTAATACAGAATGCCTTGTCTCCAGATATGGACGGTGATTCCATGCTTCTATTTTCTCCCCAGTGTGCATTTGGTTCTCTGAAACCTTCCCTCCATATACAATCATCTCAAAACACCAAAAACAGTTTCCACTGGGTGTTATGATTTTCCTAATTCCTCAGATTTTTAGGGCACATGTTTATAGGTTGTCCACCAAGCTTCCAAAGCCTTGGAGTGAGAACTGTGGTGGTGAACTTTGCTATTTTTTTTATGGGCATTACAAGGGGAATATTTACTTCAGATAATACATTGTAACCTCTCTGACTGCAGATGTGTGGTGTAGAAGTCTCAGATGCTCATTCTGGGCTGCTTTAATCCTTTTTGCTTTTGTGTGCCAGGATGAAACTCCAGTTTATGTTGCTTACTAAATTAGTCTAAATGTTCTCAGATGTCCTTGCCTTTCTAGTACCATCCACCCTTTTCATCCTTTTTTGTGTTCTGTATTCATTAGATTGTAACTCCTCAGGGGATGAACCTGCTTTTCTTTTAAAAAATATGTTAAGTAGAGCAACTGAACACCTCTGATGATATATAAACAATAATTAATTAATTATCAGGAGATCATCATATACCTGGCAAGTCTCTCTCTTCACAAGTCACTGGAATATTGGTGAATAACGTAGGTTTGGTTAACCTCATCACTGTGAATTCAGAAAGGAACGGAAAAGTTAATGCAAACATTAAAAGATCCAAAAATATTTAGTAGTTTTAGTAAAAAACAAAAACCACCACCACATTTTTCATTTTCTTGTTTTGAAGTGTGCTTTTATCACCCTCTTTCAAACTATCACATTACCAGCACTTCCTGGTGAATATTTTTGGTCAGTATGGAGTTAAAGTTTAATAGGGATCTAGGTCATTGCATACTATTGATTTCTTGTACACCTCTACCCAGATATAACTCGACCCAATATAACACGAATTCTGATATAATGCGGTAAAGCAGTGCTCCGGGAGGGGCGGGGCTGTGCACTCCGGTGGATCAAAGCAAGTTCGATATAACGCGGTTTCACCGATAATGCGGTAAGATTTTTTGGCTCCCAAGGACAGCGTTATATCGAGGTAGAGTTGTAGTCACAAACTTTAAATCAACCTTGCAAAATGATCAAAACTAAATGAATGAGATTTTACTTACCTGTCAAACAAACCAAATAATCTTGCCCCAGGAAAGGGGACAAGTAGAATTTTGCAAGGCTGCTGTAAACCATCTTACTCAAATTATGTAACCTCATCTATATCATGGTGCCTGGGATTTATCCTCAAGAGAGATTATTTTCCAGATGGAAAATAGGAAAAAAAAAAAAAAAAACCAAACACCCAACCCCGCCCCCCCAATACAACAACAAACACTGATCCTGATTCTGCAAACATTTACACATGACAGTAATCCCATTGAGTTCTAATGCATACATGTTTGCAAGATCAGGACCATTGTCTGAAAACTGCTTTGAAGATGTAAAATTCTAGACAAAGGCTCAGTATTTTTTTTAAATGCAAATGCATAAAATTATTTGCTAGGACCAACATCTGCAGTTCCTCTCCGCAAACCAGTGTTCCCCTCATTTACAATATATTTTTGGTTAAGCTTTACCTCTAAACTTGATCTTAGCTCGTAAGTGTAATAAGACTCACAAGACTAAACAAATACTGATAATTGTGCTGTTGAATATTACATTGTAAGTCATTGCTTCTAAGGCAAAGTAATTTGAGAATGTGGAAGTTCCAAAATACAAATAATATTCCTTCATTTTTTCATATAGAATGTATTATTTACCATTTAAAAATAGGAAATACATTTTATGTAGCAGATCAAGGCAACCTTCAGCTCAGGATCTCTTCAGGCTATAGAAAAATAAACTGGACAAGCTTGCATTGAAAGTTGCTATTTGAAAGACTGATGAATTTTCATTTCATATTCATTAGTCTACTCAGCATTCATTGATGCCAGCTTGGTAAACTCACTGATTGTTTTGGGTATGCATTTGGGCATGATGCAATAGTTCATGTGGTAGTTTATGCTACAATACAAGATACCTACATGGGATGGTTAGTGGAGACACACTCTGTTGCTTTAGGGAATGTATATATTACAAAAGTGAACCATGCATAAAGCTTTTTTTAATAGGACGGTGTAAATTGGAGATTTTAGCTGAAGAAGGCATAATGTACTCCTGGGGGGATTCTGTGCCAAAATTTTTTTTACAATTCTGCAAAATTCTGCATATTTTATTTATTTGTCAAAATAAGGCAATATAATCACAGTAGTTTCAATTGTTTTGGTAATTTATTTAAACTGCAATACAGAAAAAAGTTACAATAACTATTCAGCATTTCCTAAACACATGGAAGTCAAGTTACAAACACTTGGTAACTAATACCCTGCATTTCAGTTATAATCCTGGATTTTCATTTAAATTACATTACAGAACAGAAAAAAAAATAAAATTAAATTGTTCAAAACTTTCATACAGTTTTTGCTAATTACATTACAGAACACCAAACAGCGCACACACAAAAGTAGAATATCATTTTAAATTGCGCAGACTTTCACACATAAGTCATGCAGTTTTGCTAATCATTGTCCTGGACCTGGCTGGGTACTTTGGAAAGTGCATGGTTCTGATTGTCCTGACATTTTATTGACTGTTTGGTAAATGTTGCCCTTAAAGTTTGTTTTTTTTTTAAATGGGTAAGTAAAATAAATCCTGAGCTGTAATCTAACCCCATTGTGCCACTTTGGCACAGGAAAAAAGCGAGAAAGACACCCAGATCTTCCTAGCTGAAGATTACCTTACTTGTTATTTATAATAAGGCTCCTTTACATCATTCTGGCAATGTAGGGGCCTTAAAACTTTTACAGGTTTTATGCTCCTGGGGGAACTGACTGAGAATGGGAACAGTTAACTAACAATAGGAACATTAACAACCTTACTATACAGGCAGGCTGCTACATTTTGGCCTCAGAGAATGAGCCTTCCTCCTGAAAAGAACTATCCCTCCATGCCCCTGGAGAGTCGCAGTAGCAAGGGACAGTCTCTCTCTCACTTATTGGCAGGCACCCATGCCCAGCCCCATCCCCTGACCATGATCAAAGTCTCCCCCACAGGGATTTGCCTCTCTGAGGCTGCTCCAGGCACACTGGAACAGACACACTGTCTGGGTTGCCAGGGGAAAAGCGCGTGTCCCCCCGCAGATTTCTTTTGCATTTTTCTGTGTGTGGGGAGCACAGAAATATGCAGGCCATATGAATTCTGCACCCCTGTCAGGAATAATAATGGCATAAAATGAAGAAGCGTGAAAACATCTTACTTCATTCAGCCTGATTTGTTGTCTTGAGTAAGCATCAGTGATAAATGAGAATTTAAGGTATATTCCATAAGATCTGCATCAAGAGGGACTGGATGCCTCCTTACGCAAGTGCAGAAACAACAACAAATATTACACACTTCATTTTCCTTATTGCTCTGCTGACAACTATCAACATTCCACTGAAATTAGCACAATATTAGGCAAACAGCAAATACAGCAGCATAGTAAGTGTTACAGGTGGAACATTTAGTAGCTGGCGAACAGTTAACTGTACATACTGTAACCTATGTAAAAAAGTTGATGAGACACTGGAGCACTGCACTGAATAACATGCCTTTTCACACCTTAAGACAGGATACAGGATCCAAATGAAGGTAAGTCCATCTGGGAAGAGGAGCAGCTGGATTAGTAATCGCTACTTCCACAACCACTGCAGCAGTTACATTAGCATTACTTTTGTTCAGAAAACTGTTAAACCTCCTATAGAAATGCAATGCCACTATAGTGATGCCCATATTTTTTAATTGCGCTCAGCTGAGTAATTTGTTCATGCCATAAAGTTACAAAGAGTATCAATAGTGAAATCCCAGACACTTTTCCTGCAATTTTCATTGAAAGTATTATGATTAACCACCCCACCAAACTTAACGTTTCCATCAAGCTTCTAAAAACTTTCAGCACTTAGGGCTTGTCTACACTACCAAGTTTTGTTGACAAAACTTATGTCAACACCCAAAAGTCGACAAAACAAAAATCGCCAAAGAGTGTTCACACTTGCTCCCTCTGTCAACAGATCATGTCCACATTGGGGACACCATCATCAACAGGGTGAGCAATGCACCATGGGTATGTATTCCACAGTGCAGTGTTGTGGGAAGGAAGAGCTGATCACTGCGCATCTTTGGATTCTCTCGGATTTCTCCCGCAGCCCCCTCAGCTGCCGAGAGCAGCGTCATGAGCAGCTCTGTGAGCTCTCCATGCTGAGGAATAGCAAAGCAGCACAGCAGTCTGTTCCCCTCCCCCTGCAGCAGCAGTCTGCCTGCCACTGTGTTCCTAGTGCAGGGCAGAACAGGAGCATTCCCATGATTTGTTCTTTGTTTGTTCCCTAAACAGAGCAGCACACAGATACTTCCTGCAGCTTTGAAAGGGGAGGGGTGCATGCCTGGGGGGCAGCAGAGATCAAAACACTGAGCAGAACAATCAGGGCAGGCATTGTGGGATACTGGCGGAAGCCAGTTCTGTCAGCAAAACAATCAGCAATGTCTACACTGGCTCTTTGTCGACAATAAAGAGAGGGGAAAAGACAAGTCTCTCTTACAGTTGGAAGTTTTTTGTTGCCAAAACTGGGCGTTTTTCGCGACAAAAGTCCCATTGTAGTGTGTACCCTCTTGCTGTTTTGTCGCCAAAAGGCAGTTTTTGGCGACAAAACTTGCCAGTGTAGACAAACCCTTAGAAGTCTAAATATAGTCCTGTTCAAACATCACGAGTGTGATTTTGAAAAAGTAGCATTGGGCATCATGTCATTCTTGATGCACAGGCTATGTGTGGATTGCTTTAAGGTTTCTTCCAAATATTATATGGGGACTTTTACTACACCCATTGGAGATAAGGTATTGTTGTCATTGAAGTCAATGGGACAGTATCCCTCCATTGTAAACACTGGTAAGTTTTTTTTTTTTTTTGGGCCTCCTTGCCTCTTTACACAACTCTAGCATAAAGGGGTGATAAATTTCCCCTGGAAAATAGTCTGAGAGCAGCCTCTAATACAGAACTATTGCAACAGCTCTACGCCTGTCCCCCACCACTAGGGTGAACAGACAGCAAATGTGAAAAATCGGGACGGGGGGGGGGGGGCTTATAGGAGCCCATATAAGAAAAAGACCCAAAAATCAGGACTGTCCCTATAAAACTGGGACATCTGGTCATACTATCCACCACATACCCAGAACATATCATGGGAAAGATGGATGAATCTGGATTGCTGGTGAACTCTGGCTATTCTCTGCTTCCCATGGACAATTGAGGGCCACAGGAGTCAAGTAAAATTAATTCCAAGTCTTAGGACTACTCTAATTTCACCGTTGCCTCCAACTCTTGTGATTTTATCACAAGTCTCACAATATATGGCATTTTCCTTAAAACTACAGCTCCTGAGTCATGCAACTATATGAAAATCCCAGCTTTCCATTTAAAAAAAAAGTTTGCCACAATGATGAGACATAGAAAGTACTAAAAAACATGAATTCTAAAAGCTCAAAACCAAGAAGGCAAATAAAAAGACCCAAAATGTATTATTTAAAAAAACGACATGAATTTTAATATAATCTTATGACTTTTGGGGGGCCTGACTTATGATCCCTGAATGCTTGAGGTTGGGAATACAGTAATTCACACTAACGGCCAGGCCCAGAGTGTAGGAAAACACGCAAGTGGCTTAAAGTCATCTTCCCACACTCCCAATCCCATTTCCTGTAAAGAGTGCACGTAACACAGTAATGGAGAAATGGACCAGAATGAAGGCAAGCAAAATACTAAGGAGATTTAAATACATATGCATTTCAGCTAAGCATTTCTAAAACAAATTCAAATAAAGTTCCGGGTTTAAGACTGTAAATCAGTACTAACTGAAATAATCCTCTTAATAGACAGTATTGGGTGTTCACAACCCATTTGACGGCAGTTATCCAGAAAACTATAAGCACTGAAGAAAGTGGACATATATTAAAAGTCCTAACATTATTTGATTCTCACAGTAAGTTCTTACCAAGAATTTTAAGTCAGAAAACGGATACCAAACATGTTTAGCTAGAGAAAATTAGTCCAATTTTAATTACATGTATAAAACAGACACAGATTACAATGATATAACCTGTCACACTGGGAAGTCATAAGCCAAACATAAATTAAAGGTCCTGATCCTAAAAAGATTTATGCATGTGTGTAACTTTACTCAGTGGGGACTCCTCATGTGAGTGAAGTTACATGCATAAATCTTTGCAGGGTCAGGACCTGACTTCAATGGGACTACTGACTTAAATAAAGCTACTGCCTATGTAAATCTTTGAAGGATCTGGGCCCAAAATTGGATTTTCTTGTTATAGCCCAAGATCAAAGAAGTGTGATAGTCTGAGGTACTTAAGCTTATTCTATACTGCACTCCACCACAAAGTTTCTTTTCTATACAGTATATTAAAAGGAAGAAAATTCTGACTAGACAAGGGCTATTTGTATCTCTATTACTAATTTTGTTGTTATAAAGAACAGTAAATTAAACTATGCAATTTAGCTATGCAAGCTTTTAAATTAATACAGACCCTGGGTTATCCTATGAAACTCTCAATGCAGTTGTACTAAACAGAAATATTAAAAGATTTAAAAAAAACAACTCATACCTCAAGAGAAAACACTGAGCATTCAGGCAAGAGCAAGAAGTACTTATAGAGAATCAGAAGGAAGAAATTATACTGCTGGGTCGGACATCTGTCCTGTCAGTGTGATGGCAAATGGTTAGGCTAGTGATTAACTGATTTGTTTACTGAGGTAAGAGATGCCAAAAGAACTGCAATCAGATTAAATCAGTAGTATTCACAATGAAACTTACCATTAAAATGGAGGAGGCAGGATGGAAGCATTAGGCAAAATATAGACACTTCCCATCTAAACTGTTAATTTACCAATTAAATCAAAATCACATTAATTTTCAGATTTTTGCTTTAGATAGCAACTTGTGTGTGTTTATTGAAAATAAATAAGGTTAGAAATGGAGTTGTGGAACTATGTTTCCCAATGGGTTTTGCAATGTAAAATTACTACTCAGACCTCTAAAGTGGGAAACAACATTTGCCAATAGTTACAAATGGTTAACTTTTAGAATAGTTGGGTCTTCTGAGAAATAAACAGGGATTTTCTTTCTCTGTACTCTAATCCAACACAATGGCCTTCAGGACACTGTCCAACATCCTGGGATCCTCATTCACTAACTATTTTCCCTTCTTCCCTCATAGCTAAAGCCTACTGTAACAATTTACATCTAGCTAGGCTATAGATTCTTCCAAGACAGCTAGCATAACTGTAAATTTCCTAGCAGAGGTCCCCAAGAGAAATACATGCCCATACACTCCTACAGGGTCCCAAGGTACCTGCTCTAGTTTATCACAAACCCTCTGAAGAGGACAAGAGCATACTCAACATTCATACTGAAGATGGGTCTCTTCTCTCATGTCACTGCAAGCCATGCTGCATTCAAACATCTTAACATACCAATGCATCCAGTGGGACCATTATATTATCAATATGTACAATTTCACAAGCTAGTCAGACTAATTTCCAAGATGCTGATGGTTTAATAACCATTAACCTAGCACTTTCTTTTTGTTCACCACTATAATTATAAGCTACTGAGGCTGTAGGAATGAAATCAAAAAGCAGGGACACCAGAAAAATATCAGTGCAAAAGGCATAAAATAATGGAGGTGAAAGAATTTACAATGTTTTCACCCCTCAGCTACAATATAAACTTTTCTCTAATCTTTATTATTTGGTATTTCAGAGCAAATAAGCACGAGATGACAAGATTTGTGTGGAATGGAAGTCAGTTTACATTTTAAATGTAAACTATTCATCCTAATGAGAATTTTTCCTAGAGATAATCAGCATCTTGGAACTCTAGGACAAAATCAAAATCCATCATGGTGACAATGATGACTCACTTAAAAAAATATATTGTGCTTTTTCTCTCCTCCTAATTTTAACTCAATCAGTACAGGAAGGAAGTCCTCTGACAGAAGTACAGATTTCATTTTCCTAATACAGCTCATCTGCAAGAGTCACTGGACAATGGACTCTGACTCTATGCATGGGCGGAGGGGGAAAGTTACACAAATGCTATTCCAATGTTCTTAACTACAAAATACAGTGATATAATTCATGGTCAAACAAAATTATATGTAAACAAACAATTCTAATCAAACTAATAAAAACAACGACGAGTCCGGTAGCACCTTAAAGACTAAGTTTTATTTGGACATAAGCTTTCATGGGTAAAAAACCCACTACTCCATGCATCTGAAGAGCGGGTTTTTTTACCCACGAAAGCTTATGCCCGAATAAATCTGTTAGCCTTTAAGGTGCCACTGGACTCCTCATTGTTTTTGTGGATACAAACCCTAATATTCCAGACAGTAATATTACTATTTCCTTTGGTTTTAAAGTTACAAACTAAATATAATTCCATATTTATGTACAAGCAAGTTCATTCTCCCAGTAAGATTTAATCTTTCTTTAAGAAGATTGCCAACATATTCACTGTATAATAGGTCACAGAAAACCCATATCTGGTCCACACATCTCTGGATTGTAGCATTGCAAGTCGGCAATTCATTGTGTTTGATCATTGTGTTCAATTTTATCCAAATGTCCTCTAGAGTTTGATTATTACAAATAGATTGCTCAATTGTCCACTTTGCTCTATAAAATGCATGTAGCTTCATTCTTTCTAAATTACTCTGCAGTTCTCTAGATAAAGGAAGAATTTTTTCTTTAAGTTTAGAACTAGGGACAGAGATACTCCAAGACCTTCTCAATTTTGGTTTTTCATTTGCTGACTGTACTTCCAAATTGCTTGAATTAATTTGTGCACGCACTGTTTGTGCCTGAATTAAACTTTGACCAGTTTTCAAATTAGACTGAAACTCCAGAAGGTCCACTGTGCAGTCATAATATCGCCCAATAAGAGGTTCTGAAGCTGCAACAAGTTGTTTCACTTCTTCTGCTTTCTCACCAGAAATAATAGGTGGTTGTCTTTTAGGCTTGAGTGGAAGTTTGTGTGAAACATTTGGAAACCAGGGAACAAATCTCGGTAGTTGCCGAATAGGAAACTCCTTCAGTGTTTCTTCTGCAAGTTTCTGCAATTTTGTGAGGTCATTCTGAAATGGCCGATAGTGCAAAACTACTTCCATGCTGGTACTGTAGGAATCCAGTTATTCTTAATAAAAGCAACAGTCTCTTGATTAGGATCCTCAACTCTAAAGCGTAATACATCTTATTTACAAGAATCTCTTCTTGCATGTGATGCACAGATCAGAAGAAAACAGGACCTAAAGCAGAAGTATTGTAAAGAATAAGATACCACCATATTAAGCCATATATTGCTAGAATATTTTACAGAAAAACAAAATGCTGTAAAGATAAACTAGCAATATTTATATTTATGTAACAGAATGCTTCATACTTTACCACAAGTGATTACTTACTGGTATTTAATCATTGCTAGTGTTTTAAAACACCAGGTAAGTACATTTTAAACTTTAACAAAACAAAACATACATAAATTTAGATGATCTGCTCTTCATGGAAAAACCTATGCTGTTCCCCCCCAAAACAATATTCTCCTCCCTGTTATCCACCCATTTCTGTGGTCATATGAAATTGATGTGAAGAAGTTTTGCCCAGTTAATCATGCCTCAATAGAACCCTCAGATTGTATGCCACTGTATTTACCCACAAATTACCATGCATCTATGGCACTATGTTCTTAACACACATATCTAATGCTATCCACTAAAAGTACCAGGATTTCATTTAAAACGTTAACAGTCATACGATAAAATTACCACCAGCTTAAAGTTAAAACCTATTATATCGTCTTAAATTATCAAGCCAAAAAGAAAAAGGGGGCGCGGGGAGAAGAGAAGAAAATATTAATTTTAAATACAAATCCAAAACAATATCTTCCTTCTACTCCCACGAAGGAAACTGAATAATATACTGCAGATTACAGTTACTGATGATGAAAAAAATACTCTCTGAAATAGGACTAACAGAAATACACAATTTAAAGTAGACGATTAGCCAAGAAGCTGTTCTGGACTCCAAGTATGCCAAACAATATATAATAAAGATTTTCTTATTTCCATTCCAAAGCATAACTATATATCAACCAGTCTTAGCTCCAAACTTCAGAGCTACACATCGCAGTCATGCTATTATATGAAATCTTTAAATATGTTACTCCTTAATTTCCAAATTTCAACATTTCTTTCGCTCAGATGAAGGTTAAATTGCATGTTAGGTAATGGATACAAACAGGATTACCAATTATGGAATGAATTCATAGCATCCTTTACTCTGAGTTCTAACAGACACCAACAATAAACAGACACTAGACTCTGATCATTTAACTATTGCATTGCAATGACTGAATTCTAGAAGTTTAAAGTGACACATGCTACACTCACTTCTCTGCAGGCCCAGGGATCTACTTACACCTCTTATCAGTCCTCTATGCCCCAAACTAGGGTGTATTAAGAAAAGATTTTGCTTTGAATGAGCTGTTACAACAGCAGAACTGTTGATTTTTTTTTTTTATTATGGAAAAGTGGAAAAGCAGCTTGATGTTGTCATTTGAAATCTCTAACTGCTTTAGACAGCAATAAGGTAACACCATTAAAACCAATATACTGTCTTCTGGAGTGTTTTAAAAGTGAGCGTATTAACATGAGGTGGATTCAACTAAGGCCATGTCTTCACTACCACTTATGTCGGCAAAACTTATGTCAGCGGTGTGAAAAAAACACCCCCGAGTGACATAAGTTTTGCCAGCATAAGTGGTAGCACACACAATGCTACGTCGGCAGAAGAGCTTCTCCCACTGACATAGCTACTGCCACCCGTTGAGGTGGTTTTATTATGTCAACAGGAGAGCTTTTTCCCATCAGCATAGAGCGGCTACACAAGTGATTTTATAGCAGTGCGGTTTAATCGGTATAGCTGTGCCGCTATAAGCTCGCTAATGTAGACATTGTCTAAAACCCCAATTCTGCAATCACTTATGCAGATGTATAACTTATGTACTTGAGTAGCCCCACTGAGTTCAACTTATTACAGGATTATGGACTTCATCTTGCTCATTATTGCTACTTAATAGGAACACAAAAGCACAATGGTAGACAAACAATGCCAGAAGCAATATAATGTTTATTGACTCAGAAAAGGGAAAAGCAGATAAAGATTATTTAGTGCTCTGTTCTCTCATTGTTACAGGTCCCAATTCACTACTGGCAAAAATGGTCAGCACTCCATTGTGGAGTTGTGCTCTCATGCAAATTAGACTCCAAGAATGTAGAAAACATGAATTTATCAGTTCTGGACTATGGAGGCAAGGAATCAATTAAGTCTGCAGTTATCTGTTGAGCAAAGAGTTAGAAGACAAAAATATTGTATTCTATATACTATAAGCCCAACGGATAGCAAATGTAAGCACTCTGCTGAACATGCTAAAACTCATCTGCTAACTGCAGGTATTGCAGAACACAGGATTTTCACCCCCCATAAGTCAGTGGTGTTTATATGCTCTGTGACTTCCAGAAGCTTTCTAGCCCTTCCCTCTCCAATCCATGCAGAACATTACCACCAAGATTGTCTTCCTTTTCCAGACAAGATCTTCTCTCACCCTCTTTTTTCCTAACAAAGTTCAAGTTTCTCCTCTTCACCTTCAAAGCATTGCACAGCTTTTCCACCACCTATATCTTTGTTTCTCTTCCAATCTGTTTGGTCAAGACTGTAAACACATCAGTCTCCAATTAATACAACATTCTGTACTTGCATATTTTTTCATTCAAAGAGCTCACAGTACTTACTCCTGAGAGAATCCTTAACCACAAAATTAAAAATTGTGTGCACACACACACAAAAAGCTCTGGATGCATAGGGGATCATAGGGAGGTTCTGGGTGCTGGGGAAGTGGGGCTTGTTGGAATGAGGGTGCAGGTGGCTGGGGCTCAGAGGAGCGTGGGGCTTGTTGGGGTGGTCCAGGTGCAGTGGGATGGGGCTCACTGGAGTGGGGGCTAAGGGGGCTTTGTGAGAGGTCTGGGTATGGTGTGGGGGGAAGGGGGCTGGATTACACAGGGGCTGGGTGGACAGAGGAACAGCTCCCCATACAGTGACCCCTCCCTCCGCGCCTGAGGAGCAATGGGGTTAGGGGGTGTGGAACTTCCTGTAGCTGAGGGAGGTTTCTGGGGGTGGGTCTGACCCAGCGCCAGTCGCTCCTTGAGGGAGAAGGGGAAGTCTTGTCCTCGCTCAACCCCAGCCCCGCCAGAACTACCAGCTGAGCCTGGCGCAGGGTAGGAGCCACCAGACAGGGCATCCTCAGCCCCCGCACCCGGTGATTTTCCTCTCCGACGGATGGTCTAGGCACCCAAAATGACGTGCCCAGTGGTGCTAGAACAATTTTTATAGTGGGGGTGCTGAACGCAGAAACCATGTATTTGGATTGTTATTACTACTTCAAGCCACAGGGGGCACTAGCACCCTCCTCACGGCTAGTTCCAGCATCTGTGGACACGTCCATGCTGCTGGTGAGGGACATGTGACCATTCTTGTAGCTTCCCAATCAGAAAGTCATTTTAAAGGGAAGCAAAGAAATCTGCCAGGGACATGAATTCTGCACCCATGCAGTGGTACAGCATTCCCCCAAGAGTATACAGTCCTATATAAAGATAGATGGTTATTCCTATTTTACAGCTGGAGGAAGTGAAGCTAAGAAGGATAAGGGAGATTTCAGAGTAGCAGCCGTGTTAGTCTGTATCCACAAAAAGAACAGGAGTACTTGTGGCACCTTAGAGACTAACAAATTTATTAGAGT